TCAATACCTGGTAGAAAAATGTCTGTGTCTATGCCTGGTGCCTGCGGGAGAGAATACGTTGCAAAGCTCTGGATTGTCTGCAGCTTCTGCAGGGAGGAACTGGATAGTCTGATGCCCACTCCTCTTGATCCCAACCCCCTGCTCGGGTCCAAATCCCTGACTGTCCAGCCCCTTGGGATGTCCTCCTGGCGTGAAAGACACTGTACAAATGTACAGTACCATCGGTGGCCGGGCTTTCAGCCTCTCAGCCCCGAGGCTCTGGAACTCCATCCCCCAGTGCCTTCGCCTTACTTCCTCCCTTTCCTCCTTGAAGGCCGGTCTCAAGACCTTTCTGTTCAACTGTGCCTTCAGCTCCCCTCTCAACTCTCTACCCCCTCCTCGCTCCCTCCCTTCCCTCACCCTGACCATTTCCCCCCTGCTCGGGTCTCGACCCAAATGTCCAGCGCATTGGGACGTCCCCCCGACGTGAAAGGCGCTCTATAAATGCAATCTTGTTGTTGTTGTACAAATGTAATTTATTGTTGTTGTTGGATTGACTGTATTTTGTGGATGAAACGTGGCAGCCAATTGTGCACAGCAACAGATAATAATAATACTAATCCTTGCGTCATTTGGTATTGTGCCTTAATTCAGGAGGATGCCTCCAAATTGTTTCACAGGATATACTGTAAAGTGCAGTGACTGTGTTTTGTAGCGAATCCTCAAAAATGATAAATCTGCAGGAAATACAAAGTTACAATAAAATATATAATTCACAGTGCCGGATGGGCACTGGGGTCATTGTGCGGAGGGAAAAGATTCCCGAAAGCACAGTCAAACAGATTCGATTTGACACGGGGGGGAGGGAGAGGACGAGTCGGAGAGACTCTGGGATGGAATTCCAGAGAGAAGTGCAAAATGGCTGAAAGCTCTGGGACGCCACCCCAAATGAAGGGAGCTATATAAATGCAAGTTGTTGTTGTTGAGAGCCTGCCTGGCAATGGCGGGCTGGATAGGGTAAGGGAAAATGAAGCAGGTCGATGCTTATTGGAGTTGATGACTTTGGAGAGGAATATCTCCAAGTGGGGAGGCCTGGTCCAGGTTTGTGGTGACTTTTTTTTGGACGCTGATGTTGCGGTCCTGACAGATGGCAGCCTGGTTGCTATGGTAACACAGGTTTAACACACTGTGTGTGGTTCGTGATGTGTGGGTGAAAGGCAGCAGCTGCTTTCAGTTTAAACGTTCAGCTGTCCAGAGATTCGCCTGCACATAGAGAGATGAGAGTGGTTTACTGAAAGTGGCTCACAATGGAGATTACCTTCTAATCTGAACAGTGTCACTCACATTACAATGCCACTGGCAGTACTTGATATAGTAGCATTGACACAGCCTTCATTGACTGAGACATTGTTAGTAGAAGGCAAACTCTGCCTACATTTGGGTGTAAATAATAATAATAATAATCCTTGCATTTGTCTTTTGCCTACATTCACTTAGAAGAAGCATGTCTGTATCACTGATCGCCTCATTCCCTAGTCCTCTATTCAGCTAACGCAGACCTGCTGCACGTCCTCGGCCCCCTCTGGGCCACCATCAGTGGACAAGGCTTCAGTTATTACATCCCTAACCTCCGGACTCCTGTCTCCGACGAAATGCCTCGCCTCTTCTCCATCTGTTTTAAATCCTACCTTAATGCCTTTCGTGACCGTGTATTTGTGGGCAAAACGTGGCAGCCAATTGCACACAGCAATGTCCCACAAACAGTCGTGGATTGAAAATGGCCAATTTGTTATTGTTTTTGTTTTTTGGAGGGATTATTATTAGGCTCTGTGTGGAGTAAGGAAACTTGCCCATGGTTTTGCCCTGTGCCTGGAATTGAACTCAGGTGTCTCGCTTGCAAGGCGAGTGTTCTAACCACTGAGCTACGGGACTCCACATATTGTGGGTGTGCTGCATTTTTGAAGGTACCATCCATCAGGTGAGATTAAACCAAGGCCCTGGCTGCCTATTTAGGTGGACTTTAAAGATCTGATTCATTATCTGGAAAGATATCTGTGTCCTAGCCAACAATCCCCCAAATAAAATTGGTCATTTACTCCATGACAGTTTGTGGGACATTGTTGTGCACAAATTAGGACCCACTTTCGCCTATAAAATAACAGTCACTACAATTTACAGTATGTCCTGTGAAGCCCTGACATGAAAGGGACTTTATCGAATACAAGAATTATTATTATTGCGTTTCCCTTAACTGGCAAGGCAGTTCCTTCACCTCAGGCCACTGCCTGTTCATGTTGTTTGTGTCATGGGAAGGGTAGCTGGTGAGAGCTTAGCTGCACAAAGCATTATAGCTATTGCTTCAAAATAGTTACTTATCCAAAGTGAAAAGAAATCTCCATGGAACTTAAATAAATTATTAAATAAGTGTTAAAAAGGTTTTCCAGAGGCAGCCGCCACTTCCACTTTGATTCATTCCATCTTCACCTTTTTATTCCTGTAACATATGCTGTTAAGACTTTGAGCTGTTGTATTCTGCAACACTGGCTCCTCACAATAGGTCAACAGGTGGTGAGGCCAAGCACAATACAAGCCAATTGGCAACTGAAAGATTGTCAGCAAATGGAGGAGTATTGACACAGATGCCGTAGTTAATTCCGCATGCATGGTGAGGGAGTGGGTGGAGGCAGAGAATGATTGCCTTGTGAAGTCCTGTAGCTCAGTGGTTAGAGCACTCACCTTGCAAGCGAGACACAATTCCAGGCAGGGCAAAACCTTGGGCAAGTTTCCTTACTCCACATGACTAATAATCCCTCAAAATAAAACAAGAATAAATTGGTCATTTTTAATCCATGACTGTTTGTGGGACACTGCTGTGCGCAATTGGCTGCCACATTTCGCCCACAAATATACGGTCAATTCACTTTACAGTCTATTCTGTGAAACGCTTTGAGATGTCGAGAAGATGTGAAAAGCGCTATATCAAATGCAAGGATTATTATTATTATAGCTTCAGTGAGATACAACAACAATATGCATTTATACAGCACCTCTCATGCAGGGTAGTGTCCCAGAGCGCTTGACAGTGGTGAAGCCAGTTGCGGGTGGGGGGAGAGTTGTGACTGTAGGCCCAGTTGAAGAGGAAGGTCTTCAGCCCCGACTTGAAGATGGGGGAGGAGAAGGCAAGGTGGAGGTACAGAGCAAGTGTTCCAGACTTTCTGGGCATAGCAGCTGAAAGTGTGGCAGCAATGGAACGGAGGGCACGAGGGACAAGCAGAGACAGCGGGTAGTGGGTTGGGGAGTAAGCAGGTCGGAGAGGTAGGGAGGTGCCAGGGCATGAAGGGATTTGAAAACAAAGTCTGGTCCAGGGTTGCTGCTTTGTGGATATTTTAAGGCAGCAATTCACTGATCAAATGTGGATCTAAATATTTTATTGGAAAGCAGTGGAAGCAGAGTATAATTTATGCGACCTTAATCAAGTACTTTGGCCTGTGACTGAATGCAGGTTCGGGATCCCACAAACAATCAATTTAGCTTGTGACTAAGAAGCTTTGATGTGTGGAGCCCGCCTGTCACAATCACGGGAGCACAGCATCTCGGCTTTCTTCCTCTCTTGATTACATGATTGTGATCTTCAGCTGGGGCTGGAGTGAGCGAGGCTTTGGAGGCTTTCAGCAACCGTAACTCAACAACATCAGAACATTTACTATTAGCGCCTATTGGGCCTACTATTGGGACGTCCTCCTGACGTGAAAGGCGCTTTATAAATGGAATCTTGTTGTATTACAGTGTAAATCGGGATTAAGAGAAATGCTTTCTCGTGTTGGGTTGCTCTATATGAAAATTCTGTTCTGTTCTGTACGCTTCCTCCACTCGGAGGACTCTGTTCTGCCCCCACCTTCAACCTCTCTACTCCCACCCTTTGGAACTCCATCCCACAGTCCCTTTGCCTCGCCCCCTCTCCTTTGCCTCCTTCAAGGCCTGTCTCAAGACTTTCCTCTTCGGTCACCCTCCTACCCTCACCCTCCCTGCCCTCTACTCCTGCAGCTCAGGTGCAAATCCTTGACTGTTCAACACTTCGAGACATCCTCCTGATGTGAAAGACACTATACAAATGTAATTTGTTGTTGCTACTCAGCTCAGTTGGTAGAAATTCGGGTCAGGCAGTTGTGGGTTCAAATCCAACATCGGGACATTCGAGCTATTGTCTAGGGTGGCCAGTGTTGGGGGAGCACTGCATTGTTGGAAGTGCCGTCCTTCAAGTGAGATGTTACTTCCAGGTCTCGTCTGCTTTTTCTTTAAATGGAAGTTAAAGATCTCATGGCACTGTTTGAAAAGAGAAGCGAGTTTCTCCTGCTGTGTCTCAGCCAACAATTCTCCAGCGTAATTGAGAATTACTAGCAAAGAGAGAAGGTTAAAGGAACATTGACTCAGAATCTATCATTATATATTCACATAAATTGGCGAGTCAATAAAATATTTAATCAAAGGATTGATCAGTGACTGTCTTGCCATTAACATCCACAAAGCAGCAACCTTGGTGCTATAAACAATCAATCTCTAGTCTTCGTTTCTCATTAAAATGTACATGAAAATATTTCATGATGGTTTGTGGGACCTTGTTGGCGCATGATGACTGCCTTCCTTGCTTCAAAAACATTTCCTACACATTGACACTAAATACCTAAAATGCTTTGAGGAATTTCAACGTGATAAGGCAAGTAAAATGCAAAGTTCTTTCTTCCCATTTGTCTAAATACTAGTCTTGAGCATGCCTGTGACTACAATAGACCCGTTACTAATAATAATGTGGTCATTTAGTCCACAACTGTTTGTGGGACACTGCTGTGCGCAATTAGCTGCCGTGTTTGTCCCAAAATATACAGACAATTCACTTTAAGTATATTTTGTGAAGCGCTTTGAGACGTCTTGAAGAGGTTATAAGGCGCCTTATCAAATGCAGGGATTATTTATTATGTTGCTTTTTCAAGCTGATTTTACCACTTCTTTTCCTTTTGTAACAGAAAAGGCACAAAGCCGACAACACAGTCAACAAAAAGAAGACCAGAGGTGAGTTTGCATCGAGTGTGTGATCACAAGTTCCAAGAGTGATATTTTTTAGTTTATAGTTGTGTGTGCGTGCACCAACCTGTCTATGTGCCTGCATGTGTGTGTGTGTGTGTGTGTGGCGCTGCACACAAATATGCTCTTGTGCCTTTTGGGTAATTGACTACAAACGTGAGTGAAAGCCTGAAACATTACAAAGATTAGAAACCATCCACGTTTTATTCCTCTACTGTCCTCTCTTCTCATGACAGACGAGCATTTAAACAGCAATGTCAGTAGAAATTTCCAACACATTCAATACGACCGTGAGTTGCAAGCCTACAAGAGTGCTTATGCTTTCAAAAGTTTTGAAGGAGGTGATCTTGGCAGGCAAGCCTCTCTCTGTATAAAGATTACAGTTCATTCCCGACTCACACTGTCCTCTCACACAGGATACATTTTCTCTTTAAATTGTGGTGAGTAGAACAAGCCGCTGAACGTAGAACGCAGGCATCACCGCTTGAAGCAGCCTACAGAGAGACATTGCTTTAGTCAAATATTCCTAAAGAGAGTTTCTCCCAGTGTGCTGTTCCAACAATTTCCCATGTGAAATTGGTCATTTGTTTAATGGCTGATTGTGGGAAATTGCTGTACTCAAATTGACTGCCGGGTTCGCCTACAAAATACACGGTCACCACACAGTATACAAAATATTTCACGTGAAGCGCTTTGATACGTCCTGACATGAAAGGCATTATATCGCTTGCAAGGATGATTATCATCATCATTATTTTTATTGTTTGCCTGATGTTGACTGGAGCTATGTAGGGGTGTTGTCAAAGATCTTGCAAAATTGGCTTGTGCTGCTGTTCTCTCTGCCTGTGCCTGCACACAAATTTTTATAAACTTTTTTTAAAATTTTATGGAGGTATTTATTATAAGTTTTCTCTGTATGCACTTGCCCTGAAACCTATATACAGAGCAATACAAATTGACATTTATGCCGCGCCTGTTACATCAGGAGAAATCTCCCAAGCTAAGTTTTTATTTTCAAGTTTCGCCACTCCTCTTTGTGTCTCAATTGATATAGAAAAAGACAGACATGCCAGCTGCTCTCAGACTGTTTCCAGTATCCCTTTGTAACTGATTGCCAAGAGGTGTCTGCCCTTCCCCCCATTTCCCCTCAATTTCCCCTCACACTCTGGCACCTTCCTGCTCACCATGGCTCAGAACAGGGCTGGGTTTCCTTGCACCATGGCTTTGAGCCATCTATGTACAATTGTAGATGTTAAAGATCCCACGGCACTATTTAAAAAGAGAAGGGAGTTTCTTTTGGTCAACAATCCCCTGAATAAAATTGGTCATTCACTCCACAGCTGTCAGTGGGACGCTTAAATTGGCTGCTCAGCTTAAATTAGCTGCTGTGTTCGCCTGCAAATTACAAAGTCACTGCACTTTATAGTGTCTAATAATAATAATCCTTGAATTTTATATAGCACTTTATCACGTTGTTCAGACTTCTCAAGCGCTCCGAGATGCTCTCTGGAGTGAAGGATGCTATATAAATATAAGTTGTTGTTGTCTCAAGGCACTTCACAGGATATACTGTACAATGGATTGACTGCATATTTTGTGGGCGAAACACAAATTACACATAGAATATAATTTATAGAAATATGATCCTTTTTGATATGGCGCCTTTCACATCGGGAAAATGCAGGTTGTGTTCCATTGAAACAAAGCCCTAGGATATTGGATCGTGGACAATTTTGAAGCCAAGCCAAGTTTCGAGGCTAAGTCTCTGTACCTCTTATTGATCAAGGCAATACGTAGTCTTTGTACGTATTGGGACGTCCTCTTGATGTGAAAGGCGCTATACAAATGTAATCTTGTTGTTGTTGTTGTACTGACTGCCTCTCTTTCTACCCTTCCCATTGGTGATAGTCTGGCTTAGTCAGCAATGCTCTCACTTCTGAGTCAGAAGGTTTTGTGATCGCTTAATCCAGACACAGTGCAGTGCTGGAGGTGTGCTGCATTGTTGGGAAGTGCCATCATTCAGATAAGACATTAAACCAAGGTCCCGTCTGCCTGTTCAGCTGGATATTAAATAAATCACGGCACTATTTGAAAAGAATCGGGAGTTCCCAACAATTCCCCAGATAAAAATCGGCCATTAACTTCATGGCTGTTTATGGGATTTGCTGTATGCTGTGCCTTTGTTTACAAAATCTGTAATTAGTGAATCCTGTGAAGCATGTTTGAGGTGTCCTCCTAATGGGAAAGGAACTATATCAAATGCAATGAGTATTATTTATTATATTACATTCATTGTTATGCTTGAAGCAAGCGCTCTGACATCAAGTTCAGGGAATGGAAAATAAACTATATTTTTGTTGCTTAAAATAACCACTTCCATTAGTACCATATGCCTGCATGTTCCTTTGTTGATAAGTGGATTTCTCATCAAACCACATTAGGGTAATTGGATTTGTCTGTGTATAGATTTGCTGTATAGTGAATTCTCTGCTATATAAATCACTTGAACTGACCAATTTGGATTCTTGGTACTTCAATGGCAATACATGATTGCATTTAACATTTTATATTTTTTTCTTATGGTGGTTTAAAAACTACACAGCACTGAGAGTGGCGTTTTAATCAAAAGATCTAAAATTGCTGATTCACATCATGGCTGTTTTGTAGGGCATTGCTACACGGAAATTGGCTGCCGTGATTGCCTGCAAAATACACTCACTACTCTTTACTGTATGTGCTCCAAGACACTGTCCCGGTACTTTGAGCCATCCTCCCAATGTGAAAGGTGTTATGTTAAATGCAAGGATTATTATCATCATCATTATTGTTATTATTATTATCTTGCTATCTTGACAGTAAACAGGCATATGAAAGAGATGGTGTGGGGGATAAGGCGAGCCGGTGGGATTGAATTGATCTCCTTGCTCTGTTAGATGGTGTAGACTCGATGGGCCAAATGGTCTCCTCAGCACTGTAGATTTCTCTGTTTTATCCTCTGCTGGGAGTTATAGTGTAGACCTATATATCTACCTGCCAGTAGAACTTTATCACAAATCACTACATGGAGCACCAGAGGCCCACGATGATTCTTCCTCTGCGTTGTGCCATCTTTCTCTTGGGTTCTCACTATGACAGCAAACCTGATCTTATAACTCACTGTGTGCACGATGAAATGGCATGTATAGTAGGGTGGGAAGAGAGAGAGAAGGAGGGGAGGCATAGAGACAAAACATTGCCCAACCTTTCTCCTGGTCAGACTGTTTGCTACTGATAGCAGCACCGATAACTCCATAATACAATATATTACAATTTATATAGTACCTTTCATGTCAGGAAGATGACTAACTGCATTTAGCTCACTATTTGGACCTCGCTAACTTAACTATCACACATCTAATAATCTGGTATTGGACAACTTCATTTAGAAATATTTTACTCCCAGACGCTAGCAGTAATTAGTGGCTCACGCTGCTGACATTTAGTGGTGACAAAAGCAGACGTGTAGCGCAGAAATCTCTTGCAGATGTGAAAAGGGCAAGTAAATCACATGAAATACAATGAAACAATGTGTTTTCCTGGGGCATTGGGAGTAAACAGTGATCTATAACCATTCCATCCCCAGTACAGATGATGCATTTTGGAGCAAACGGAATCATAGAAGACGATAGAAATTTACAGAGTGGAAGGAGGCCATTTGACCCATCTTGCCTGTGCTGGCCGTCTGAACAAACCATCTGTTTAGCCCCATTCACCTAGCTTTTCCCCACAGCCTTTTTATATTTTCCCCCTTTTCAGATGTTTATCAAATTTGCGCTTAAAAGACAATGTTGAAGCGGTCACAGTGGAAAGTGATATTAATGTGGTTACACATTAAGCTCACTTTATATAGTAATTTATATAGCTGTGGTTATATATTGTTTTCTTGTGGAGTTCTGTAGCTCAATGGTTAGAGCACTCGCCTCGCAACGAGAGACCTGGGTTCCATTCCCATCTGGGTGAAATGTTGGGCAAGTTTTCTTACTCCACACTCCTCTGTTTACGTAGCAGTAAGTAAAACCCGGTTGTTAGCCGATTGGCGGATCGCTTCCCAGGGGGTAATAATACCTTCAAAAACAATAATAAATTGGTCACTTCAACGATTGTTTGTGGTTCACTGCTGTGCGCAATTGGCTCCCACGTTTCGCCCACAACGTACACAATCAATTCACTTTACCGTATATTATATGAAGTGCTTTGAGACATCTCGAAGATGTGATAAGGCGCTATATCAAATGCAAGGATTATTATTATTACACAAATGAAGCCTTAGATACCCAACTGACCAAAAAATATTTGCACACTTATATCATAGACAGAATCATGAGCAAAAAAAATCCAGTATGATGATTAGTTTATGCTGTAAATGTACCCTGTTGAATAATCATAGGTGTAAAATGAACTATAAGTAACCTGAGCATAGTGCCCACATTATGTGCTTAGTGATTTAGCAACTACGTCCCTAACCTCTGGAAGTCTCTCTCTCTCTCTACCCCTCCATTTCACCCCCTCTCTTATCTGTCCTTAAATCCTACCTTAAGACCTGCTATTTTCCCCACTGCCTATGGTTTCTCCCCCCCCGTCCTCCTTATCCGGTATCCAATCCCATCTTTCTGAAGGACTCAGACATCATCCTATGTCAAATGCACTGTAATGCACTATATAAATGCAAGATCACAGGTTTGGTCTGGATGAAGAAGGTCCTTCTGCCCAAATAAGCTCATCCCTCCAGAACACAGACCCGATTATCCCCCTATTACAGCATCAAGCTGCTTTTTATGTAAGTCCAGTGCCCTGGCCTCTACCACCTTTCCTGGCAACCTGTCTCGATTACTCTCTGTGTAAAGAAAATCTTCCTGGTATCTGTCCTGAAATTGCCCTTTACAACTCTAAACCTGTGTCCTCTTGTTCTCCTCTTATGACAAATCCTAAAGTGTTGATCTGGGTTTATTTTTCAATCCCATATAAAATTGTGTTTCACCTCTATGAGGTCCCCTCTGTGCAGATGGTCAGCCAGTTGCAAGTATTCTGTGTCACAGGTGCTTTTACTAAAACAACTCTTTTCTTTGCAGTTTTAAGAAATGGCAAGTGGCAGACCATTATTTGGAAAGAGGTACGTGATGTGATGCTGGAGATGCAAGGTGCCTGATTCTTGGGTTCCTGCAATCATTGAAAACAATACAATTTATATTTATATAGCACCTTTCATGTTGGGAGTATAGCTCAAAGCACTTTACATAGCTGAATGGGCACCTGAGCTGGAGTGAGGGGTTTGGGGAGCTGAAGAGGGTGGGTGAGGACACAGCTGTAGAGTTCTGAACAGTCTGCAGTGTAGGTAGGAGCTATTGATTCGAGTGAGCAGTGTGTTGGAACAGTCGAACCTGACCGTGAAGAAAGCATTAATGAGGTTCTCAGCAGCCCAAGGGGAGAGGCAGTCCCGAAGTCTGGCAAACAAAATAAAATGAAGACTATTTGGACCATTTATAAATACCTGAGTTTAGTGATTGCACAGAAATGTGTTTTGCTGCCTCACTGATCATTGATGTGCACAATTGTGCTGCTGCGATTGCCCACAAATACCTAGTTGTGTCACTTCATAGTGTATTATGTGAAGCGCTTTGGGATGTCCTCCTAACAGGAAAGGAGCCATACCAAATGCAAGGATTATTTTTAGCAGTGAGAGAGATTTAAATGTGGCCTTGCTCTATTCCCTCTAGAATTTGTTTCCTCAAATGGATCGGGTGAATTGCATTTTCTCGTTCATTACATTCTATTCTAAATGTAAGAGCAATCGTTTTATCGATCTGCAGGAAATTAAACTTGGTGAAAGCTTAACCTGTTTGGCTGAATTCTGCTCTCCTTGTCAACCGGTCATAGTTTGCATGTGATTCTAATCCCTTGGGCGGATTGGAGATACTTTAATGCACACACTGAATGTTCGGCATTCTGTTTTGAGGGGAGGAATTGTTTAGTCGGTATGTTGTCAACACAGTTACTGGCGTAACCATGCTCCAGAAAGATGTAGTCATATGGTCTAGGTGGCCCTCCAATGCAATGTGGGGGTGGGGGCTTCTTTGTTAGAGATGCTGTCTTTCAGATGAGTTGTTAAACTGAGGACCCATCTGGCTGTTCAGGTGGTTGGTAAGGATCCAGTGGTACTGTTCAAAGAGGGAATTGTATTTCTACCAATGTCTTGGCCAACAAGCCTCCAAATAAATTTGTCATTCACATTATGGCTGTTCGTAGGACATTCCTGTGTGCAAATCGGCTGCCACATTCGCCCACAAAATACACAGTAATTTGCATTATATCCTATGAAGGGTTCTGAGATGTCCTCCTGACCTGAAAGGTGCTTTATCAAATGCAAGGATTATTGTTTTATTATCTATTTATTTCAAAATAAAGGTTTAACAGAGTAATGTACCGTCTTACTCAGCTTGGACCAACACTTTGAAAATGGTGGAAGGGCAGGGTGGCTGAAGTGACGTATTCCTGTTTGAGGAGTTGCCATTTTGTGTATAGTATATTCTTAATGGTACATTCTTTTATATATTTTAAAAGGCAGCTTCAGTGTTTAAATCTGATTGGGAACATTGCCCTTTTCTCATATTATTACAAGTGCAATATCCAGTTCTTTTCTCCAGGCTCAGTTAGCATCACTCAGTATAAGTTGCACAGTGGGCTGAGAGGAGGGCAGTTATTTCATCTAATTGAATTTTGAGCCCATCTACTCTCGAACAAGATGATACAAAGTGCTGCATGATAGTAATTTACTAACCCATCGATTTAGCTGTAAGACTGTATTGTTCCCCTCAGTGTAAAGAGCAGATGCAAGAAGATTATCTTAAAATTCAAGATTATGTGGAAGTTTGGACCATATCTAGATTCATTCTCAATTTGGATGACATTTTTCCACGGTTCACAAGATCACAAGACAGAATCAGATGAAAAAGGCCAATCAGCCTATAGTCTTCTCATTACAGCAGCAAGCAGTTTCTTAAATGAACCCTGCGTCCTGGCCTCAACCAACTTTCCTGGTAACCTGTCCAGTTGTAAGTTGCTCTCTGGGTAAAGAAAAACTTGTGTCTGTCGTAAACTTGCACTTTTTAACCCTGAACTTCTAGTTCTGCTGCTTAGTGTTTGAAAGTAATAGTCTGAGTTCACTTTCCCAATCCCACTTAAAATCTTATATACAAGTCCTCTATAAGGTTCTGCTTAATCCTGTCCAGAATGTCTCTTTTCACGACCAAAGAGCCCTTGCCTTTTCAATGATTGATTCTACCTCCTTCCTCGAACACTGTGGATCATCCTAGTTGCTCTCCTATACACTGCTTCTAAGGCCTGGGAAATCTCCTTATGTTAGGTGACCAGAATTGTGCACAGTACAGTACTCTAGGTGTAGGTTGATCAAAGCACTGTACAGCTTGAGCATGACTTCTGGGGAGCTGAACTCAATTAATTTGGCAATATAGCCCAGGATCCTGTTTAACTTTTTTGCCTCGCATTGTTTTAACATGATGGTCAATGAGTCAACTTGCATCCTTGGATCTCCTTTAGCTTTCTTCATGACAAGAGATAAAGAGGCGACTAGTAATTGGCCAACCATTGTGGTTGAACAGCTAGATGGGTCCTCAGTTTAAAACTCATCTGAAAGACAGGTGAATTTGCATTATAGAGAAGGAGGACTGTACTCTTCTTTGTACTGAGACTATGATTTCAGGTCGTTAATGTGTACAGGAACAGGAAGATTGCCAATACAGACCCATGTGGCATTATGCTTAGCTCCTTATCCATAACTTCTGCTTCATTCCTGTAGCTCAGTGGTTAGAGCACTCGCCTTGCAAGCGAGAGACCGGGGTTTGATTCCCGTCAGGGCGAAAGCTTGGGCAAGTTTCCTTACTCCACATGCCTGATAATAATCCCTCAAGAAAAATAAATAAATAAATAATAATTTGGTCACTCAATCCACGACAGTTTGTGGGACCCTGCTGTGCGCAATTGGTTGCTGCGTTTCGCCCACAAATATACAGTCAATTCACTTTTACAGTATATTCTGTGAAGCGCTCTGAGACATCTAGAAGGCGTGAAAAGCGCTATGTCAAATGCAAGGATTATTATTATTACTCCCTGAAGCCAATTACAAATCCATGTCCATGATTACTCATTGGATTCGGTTTGTGAAGGAGTCTGTCAAGTGGTACTTTGTCAAATGCTGTCAGGAAGTCTAGGCACACTATGTCATATGGCTTCCCACCATCAATTTAGGATGCCATCTCCTCAGACAAAATCTACCTCTTCTGAATACTGCATTCACAAGGATATTTTTATATCATGGTTCATTTTGTTTCGGATTGCCTCCATCAGCTTTTAAATTATTGAGGTCAGGCTAATGGGTCTATTGTTGCCAAGTATATCATCTTACCTTAATGTAAGAACCACACATTTCCTTACTTCCACTCTGTTGGAACTACACCAAGTGGTGATTGATTCTCTTGTAATGTCTGTCAGTGCTACACAAATCTCCTGCCTTGTCTCCCTCAGGACCCTCAGGTACAGTTCATCCATCCTGGGGATTTTCAGCCATTTGAGCCTGGCCAGGACCTCAGTCTCACATATGTTAAAATATTTGGAGCTCAAGCAATGTTTGCTGGATGTTGGACTGAATGTTTTTAGCGACTTCCCTGAAAAAGCAACTTATAAATTAAGACTGAATTGAAGAACCTTCCAAAATTTTGCCTGATCTTAAATTTTAAGACATTAAATAGTTTGGGAGAATCAGTAGCATAGGCAATTTAAAATAATCCCTACTTCACTCAAAGAGTTCCTATTCTAATCCACTCCCCGGACGCGTTGAGTGTAGAGCGGATCCAACCCTCTGAGCGTAGAGTTGGGCCAGTCCTGTTGTCTGTAGTTAAAAAGATGTACCGTGATATCAAAAAAATGGTTCAACAATCTTAATGGGCTGAATCGCTTAATTTTATAGAACCATTTTACTCTGGTGAGAGGCCTAGATTTAATCCAGATAGAATTTTCACGCTACAAAATGAATCAGGATAAGATTCACAAGGACAAACCTCATTCTAAGGACGAAAACTCAGAACTAACAAAGTAAAGGCCAAATTGAGGCCTATCAACAATGATCCCCTTGAGCGGTGTTGATTTGCTCATTCTCTTGCCAGAATTGCTGCTGATTATACTTTGCTGTGTGTTGATTTCTATCCATGCTGTTCTTATACTCATCCTCTTGTAGGTGGCGGTGGGAGATATTGTGAAGGTCACCAATGGACAGCATCTCCCAGCTGATATGATCGTTATCTCCTCCAGGTCAGACATTCCGTGTGGGGGTGTTTGGTTGCTCTTTGTGGTGAATGAAATATTTAACCTTTATACTCCCATACTTGCTTTAATACACCCTGTGTTTCTTTAATGTGGGTGACTTAAAACTTGGGTTTACTGCGCTGTGAGACGCTGTGAAGGGCACTATATAAATGTAATTAATTGTTGTACTGTGGACAAGTTGGAGGTTACTGAGGTGGTTGACCTCACCGAAACGAAAGTGTCGATTTTGTTGAATGCTGGAATAAGCTGAAGTTCCACTTTTACTGCAGAGTATCTCAGAAAATGTGTTTGTGAGGGATTTTTTTTCAAAAGGAAATATGCTCTTAATTTAGACGTTAACATGTTCAGCTGGTGGTTCTAGCTGTGGGAAACCCTACCAGACAGTGTTCTCAACGGAAAGCTGGTTAAACTCCAGGAGTATCCCAACACATATTCCAGAGATCCTTAATCCGCTCGACTAGCACCGGCCTCTTGCTCGTCCCTCGCACCCTCTGCCCCACCATCGGAGGTTGCGCTTTCAGCTACTACACTTCAAAACTCTGGAACACTCTCCCTCAATCCCTCCGCCTTGCCCCCTCTCTTCCCTCTTTCAAGTTCCACCTGGAAACTTTCGACCGTGCTTTCAGCTCCCTCCCCCCGGCTCAGAGTCAGGCTCTGCCACTGTTAAGCGCTCTGAGACATTACCCTGGGTGGAGGGCGCTATATAAGTGCAAGTTGTTGTTGTTGCAGTCATTAACGAGCATCGAGAGAATCTGAAAGCGAAGTGATAGAATTACAAACATTGTGATTATTCATATACAATCAGATAACATATTGGAACAGATATGTTATCTGATCCCTGTTATTTCTGTTATCTGATAACATATCTGACAACAACAACAACAACAAGATTCCATTTATAAAGCGCCTTTCACGTCAGGAGGACGTCCCAAGGCGCTGCACAGTTGGGTCATGACCCGAGCAGGGGGGAAATGGTCAGGGTGAGGGGAGGGAAGGGAGGGAGCGAGGAGGGGGGAAATGGTCAGGGTGAGGGGAGGGAAGGGAGGGAGCGAGGAGGGGGAAGAGAGTCGAGAGGGGAGCTGAAGGCTCGGTCAAAGAGAAAGGTTTTGAGACCGGCCTTGAAGGAGGAAAGGGAGGAAGCAAGTCGAAGGCACTGGGGGATGGAGTTCCAGAGCCTCTGTTATCTGTCTACAACTTCTTTCATGGGAAAGGTGGGGGGGAAGAGGAGAGAAAACAGTTGTGTTATCTGAACACCAGTGCCTTGGGGTGTCCTCCTAGTGCCTTGGAACTCCTCCCGATGTGAAAGGCGCTATAAAAAATGTAATTTTGTGTTGTATTTGTGTGGATACACCAGAGGCTTTAATGTGCCAAACGGCCTTTTCTCATTTCTGATGCACTGAACATCTGCTGAAAATAATCATAGGAATTTCCAGTGTATTCTGCCTACATTCCCTTTCATGGGAAAAGTGGAGGAGTTGGGGTGAGGAGAGAGAAAAACAATGAATAGAAGCCTCCAGTCTAGTGGCAGTAATGTATGTGCTTGTCTCATCATGTGGAGGGAGGGAGACGGAGATGTCAGGGATTCTTCCCGCTCATCACTTGTTAACCCTGCAAGCCAAAGGCCTAATGGAAAGGAGAGGTGGTTCCAACTGGACGAGCTGTGTAACAACCCGCCAGACAGATGATTAACCTCCAGCAGTATCCCACACATATTCTAGAGATCCCTAAACCTTGGCTCTTGCCAAAAACTGTGCCTAATATTCTCCAGAATTCGGTAAGCAGGGTGTGTCCTTCCAGGCTGAGGGCACACATTCCATTCTAGACAAAGGTATTTTCATGTACAGGTGGTAGATATACATGGGCCTCGCCCCCTCCCTTGCCTATTTCAAGACCCATCTCAAGACCCTCCTCTTTGACCGTGCCTTCGGTCACTCTCCTTGTAATTTTGTTGTTGTTGTTGGAGATGTATATGGAAATCTGGCTTGGATACTCTTACACTTGGTGATGGGTTTCCATTATATGTCCCAGGGATTCAAAACAAATCTCAGTTTAACCGTTGAGTTTTCCTAAGAGAGCATGAGATCAACCCAAAGTTTTGTCATGGATTCATGTTGTGTTGTTTAGTCACTCATTTTGTAGGTTGTGGTTCTGTGATGGGCAGCTTTTGACCAGCAGGAAACCTGATATAAAATGCTCCTTTTGTACTTCTCAGTGAGCCGTTCGGAATGTGCTACATTGAAACCTCAAACCTGGATGGAGAAACAAATCTCAAAGTACGACAGGTAAACCCAGCTCAGTTTTCATTGATATTTGGGGTTGAATTGGGGATCTGCAAGAGTTCAGAACTATTCAATCCTAATGTCAACTAGATGTATCATGCTGTACCATGGGATCTCCGCTCAAAGCATTGGAATGCTTTCTCCACTCTGGCTGTTTTCAGGGACTTCCTGTGTTAAAACTGCTCTTGAAAACTCCCAGCGATCGCACTCCGAGGGACAATTTGCTTGGGGTTCACAAGATCACAAGAGATTTAAGGAAGTGGAAAAAGCTATTAGACCCAACAAGTCCTTCCCTATTTTCTCTAGTTTTTCAGTCTCGATTCCGCATACTAGACTCCTCGCCCTATCATTAAATACAGAAATGGTTGGCTATTTAACATGTTTACACCAACTGTTTCAGCAAGCTTCTCGATATCTTATTCAGCAAATCTATAGTCCTTTGGGGGTGATGTGATATGGGACATTTGCCATATCATTCACCCCAAATCCGGCTACAATAGCTATTGAGCTTGCTGGCACCTATAATTGTGCCACTGCACAGATCCCAGCCTTTTGGAGGCTGTTTGGAGAATGCTGGCTTAAATTGACTTTTAAAGTGTTACAGGGAAGCAATCCCACTAACCAATTGGGCCTTGCACTGGGATTCATCTTTGACTGTAATCCCAGTGCACAACTCGGGTCCAAAAACTGATTGTCCAGCGCCTTGGGGTGTCCTCCCGACGTAAAAAGCGCTATACAGATGTAATTTTTGTTTGTTTGTTTACCTAGCAGTAAAGGAAGGAACTCAGTTATTAGCTTTCTGGGGGTAATAATACCATCAAAAAAAATAATACTAAAATAATAATTTGGTCACTCAACCCATGACTGTTTGTGGGACATTGTTGTGTGCAATTGGCTGCCGCATTTCGCCCACAGAATATGAGACGTCAACGACATGATAAGGTGCTCTATCAAATGCAAAGCTTATTTTATATTATTATTGTACCACAAAAGGGAAGAGGACTTGGTGGGCATTGTTCCCCCTTCTGTTATTTCAGGGTTTGGCCAGCACCATCGGTTTACAGAGCACGGCGGATTTGGTGAAGATGTCCGGGCATTTGGAATGCGAAGGACCGAACCGTCATGTCTACGACTTCAGCGGCAACCTTCGACTCCGGGGAAACAGGCAAGTCAACATGAAATGTCAACCTTTATTTTACCTAGTGATCTCACTGGCCTCGTTGGTTTGTTCCCTTCCTGAGGCAAAAGGAAAAATGCTGTCTCCAAAATTCTGCGGGTCACCCTTTTGATCCTCGCCCACATGAGCAGTTCAAGGAGCGTGTCCATGACTGGATGGTGCGTTTTACACACTCTGGTTAAGGTTGGGAACAACACTTGCTTGTTGGCGGGGAGGGTGGTTGAAGCCAGGATGCTGGACTCATTTAAAACACAACTCAACGCTGCAATAGGAGGTCGGTATGGTAGGTGTTCTGGAAGGATGGGATCGGCTGGGCCGAAAAGGGCCTACTTGATCCAGATTAATTTTGTATTTCTGTGAATACGTATCCTCCCTTTTAGTGACTGAGCATCTGCATGCACCGTGGTTCATTCTGTTTGCAAAACCTGTGTCGCCAGGTACAGTGGGGTTTGTTGTAATGCACGCAAGGAAGCTGCCAGTTTTGGGTTGTGTTTAAAAGCCTCTTGTGAAATCGAATGAGTCATACCAGCTCACCCTCTGGCTGCCAAACACCTGAGCAATCTATTGCATTTAATATAATGCCTTTTCATATCTAGAATATTATAATATTCCATTATATATTACATAATATTGTAATGTATTATAGCAATGTCCCCACGCATGCCCAGCAAGCAGGATGTGAAATCAGGGGTGACCTAATAACCCAGAAGTCGGCCCCTTTTACCCCGTTCATGTTATAAAGTAGTCGGTAGTATAATGAAGCGTGTTTAAGCACCACAAGATGCTACCCTGCATGATGGGCGCTATATAAATGCAAATTATTGTAAACACACATTGTTGTGTTGTTCAGGTTCTGCACTGTATACTTTTGTATACTAAACTTATTTTGAAAGTTTACTAAATTCAACTGGTCCTATTTTTATTACAGTCCATTGAAACGCAGAACTCTTTTTAACAATTTAAAAAAACCTTAAGATCTGGAATCCCAATCCGCACTTACGTGTTAATGACATTTCGTTGATCGTTGTTTCTATTGCATCACCTCTGAGAGACCGCAGACTGTCGCTCAGATCAGGAACTGTGCGGAGCATGCGTGGAATCTGCAATCCCTAACCTGCTTGTGATGCTCCATTTGTCTGCTAGTCACTGTCTGGCAGAGCATGAGTGCTCACGTGACCACAACAACAACAAATTACATTTGTATAACGCCTTTCACGTCGGGACAAAGTCACAAGGCGCTGGGCAATCAGGATTTTTTTTGGATCAGGGAGGGTGAAGGGCAGAGAGGGTAGTGGTAGGAGGCTGACCGAAAGCGCAGTCAAAGGATGGTCTTGAGATTAGCTTTGAAGGAGGCAAGGGAGGGAGTGAGGCAAAGGGACTGTGGGATGGAGTTCCAAAGGGTGGAGGCAGAGAAGCTGAAGGCTCGACCCCTGATGGTGAGGTGGGCTGTTTGGGTGCCACAATTGTTCAGGACCTTGAAACTTATATTGATATCCAGGTTAAATGGATTCACAGTTGAGGCTCAGATTGTAACCTCTGTATACTTATCTTTGCTCTGCTGCAGTCCTGTCGGTATAGGACCTGACCAGATCTTGCTGAGAGGAGCTCAACTAAGGAACACGCAGTGGATTTTCGGCATGGTGGTCTACACTGGGCACGACACAAAGCTAATGCAGGTTATTACATAGCATTTTTGTTTGCTGTTATTTCAGCAGCTGCACCCTAGCCCTGCATTGTTTACAGTAGGATACAATTTACATTTATGTAGCGCCTTTCACATCGGGATAATGCCTTTCACGCAGCTCATTGAATCCCCGATATTTGCACAGCAAAGTCCCACAAACAGCCATGAAGTGAATGACTAATTTTATCAGGGGCTGGTTGGCCGGGGGAAAACTCCATTCTCTTTCGGAATAACGCCATGAGATATTTAACGTCCATCTGAACAGGCAGTAAGGTGCTTGGTTGAACATCTCATTCAAGAGCTCCCCCAGCATTTGCGTTGGGAGTATCAGCCTAGACTAGGAACTCAGAGAGTCCCATGGTATCAACACGATGCATCTTCTAGTGTCGTACCCATCATTTGCAGCATGGTGAGATCCTGATCTTTGTTGTACAAGAGGCCAGGTCATTGTCTCCATTCTGGGCTGCGGACACTCATCACTGGCTTCCTATCAACAACAACTTGTATTTTATAGCTGGGTACCTATCACAGGGGCTGACTGAGCTCAAAGTTGATTTGTGCAGTTACATGTAGGAAAAAGTTGTTGACATTTGTATATTGCACAGAATTGCATTTCACTTTGCAAAATAATAATAAATATTTTTGAAAATGTGTTGCTGATAGAATGTGAATTTCCAAACTGGATCTCCAGCTTGTGACTTAATCTTACTACTGCTAATAATATTAATAATCCTTGTGCACAGAGCTCCACGAATCAGCCAATTAACTTTTAACAATAATAATCCTTGCATTCCATTTAGCGCCTCATCACGTCCACGAGACGTCTCAAAGCGCTTCACAGAATATACTATGAAGTAAATGGACTGTATATTTTGTGGGTGAAACTTGGCAGCCAATTGCGCACAGTAATGTCCCACAAACAGTCGTGGATTGAGCGACCAAATCATTATTATTATTTTTGAAGGGAGGTTATCTTTGGAGGTATTTTCTGAATTTGCTTCCAAAAACTTGACAAATCATAATGTGTGGTGTTTTCTCTTGATATGCAGAATTCTACCAAGGCCCCTTTGAAGAGATCCAATGTCGAGAGGGTCACAAATGTGCAGATCTTGGTTCTTTTCTGTTTCCTGCTTGTCATGTCTCTGATCAGTGCTGTGGGAGCTGAGATTTGGAACAAGAAGCATGGCACTTCTGACTGGTACATGAACTTAACCGGTAAGGATTGTTCATGTCCTGCAAACGCAACTCTAGCTTCTAGCGAGGGAAGGTGAACAAGTTTAGATTGAATTACTTTATATGTAGTGTTATGAAATATGTGGAATAGGAGGTAATTGGAGCCAATAAATTTAGCTAGATAGTTGGTGAATAAATCTCTTGACGGACATGAGAGATAATAATATGGAGTAATTTGTTTTTAATATTGTTAGCTGTCAAACGTACCGCAATGTCCTTTCCTGGTCCTGTCCATTCGTATGTTAGAGTGATTACAATTCTCTGCATTCAGTAGTTTATCTTGAGTGAGAAAGAACACAATATTTTGCTCTTCACTGTTCACAAAGGAACATAGGAACAGGAGGAGGCCACTCAGCCCAACAAGCCTTTTCCACCCCAGTTTATTAGAACTTGACAAATCTGTTTGTCCAATGCCATCCCTGCAGAACATGCTCATGGAGAGTGGAGGGAAGGAGAGTAGAGGGAGGGAGAGTGGAGGGAGTAAGAGTGGAGGGAAGGAGAATGGAGGGAGGGAGAATGGAGGGAGAGAGAGATGGAAAGTGGATGGAGGAAGAGAGGGAAAGCGGAGGGAGAGAGTGGAGGGAGTGAGAATGGAGGGAGGGAAGAGGGAACCTGGAGGAAGAGAGGTAGGGAGGAGAGGTAGGAATAAATTAACAGTTCTGTCTGGTACATTACTGCAAAAGCTAACAACACCTGTACCATCATTGTAACATAACGTGCGTTGGCTTAATTCAGATCTCTTTGTTTTTCTCCCCAGATAATCTTGCTAATTTTGGATACAATCTGCTTACCTTCATCATTCTGTATAACAACCTCATTCCCATCAGCCTGCTGGTAACACTGGAAGTTGTCAAGTTCATCCAAGCTCTCTACATCAACTGGGTGTGTGTTTCTAACAACAGTTACTTTGTTGGTGCTTTAGCAATCGTGTTTCTGTAAATCTCAACACATTGGAAGTAAAAGAAAGGAAGTACTATTAAAATTTATGACAACAACAATTTGCGCCTATCGAACCTTTTATATAGGAGAATGTGCTTTACAGAGACGGAATGGGAGCCTGAGTAGGGTGGGAGGTGGGCATGAGGTGACCAATGGGTAAACATGAAATAAACATTTTTTTCACTTAGGTGAGAGATCCATTACCTTATCCTTACCATAACCTTAAAATTAGACCTAAATCGGGAAAATGAGAGTCCAGAAAAAAATCTTTACCCAGATGGTGTGGGAATAAGGTGTCGGAAAGGGACGGGGTAGGAAAGTCTTCAGGTGTGGTTTAAAGATAAGCAAAGAGGGGGCAAGATGGAGGGATTGAGGTAGGGTATTCCAGAGAAAACAATATACATCTTCAGGCATGGAACAGAGATGCCCCTTTTCAGGATGGTTCAGTGCTGAATTATTAATTTTTTTGGATACTCTTAAGCATGGAGGTGGGTTTCTGCATGCATCAGATACTTGGCTGAACAAAGAAAATTGCAAGTCTGGTAAAGAAAACCCTTGCTTTACTGTGAGAGGCCTGAGCTGGAGGTGCTTGTCTCATTTGTTCCCTGATCTTTTGTGTAGGATGTTGATATGTACCACGCGGAAAGTGACACGCCAGCAATGGCCAGGACCTCCAATCTGAATGAAGAGCTTGGCCAGGTGGGAGCCTTTGCATTTTTAAATGAATTGTTTTCATTGAATGTTGTTCTTCACAAGAAAAGTCCCGAAACATTGAATGTTTTTTTTCTGTTATTTTTATCGCAGGGAAACAAAGTGCTTTATACAATCATGCCCTGGAGCCGCGTTTTTTTATTGCTTTGCTTTCAAAACTGGAAAACAATTCTTACAATATGTACAGTGGATATTGTTCCCTGTAACAGAGCAAAATAATCCCAAAATAAAATGATGGTGGTGACACGCTACATACATAACACCAGCAAATAAAGTGTTTCAATTGTGGGATCTTTTCCATTCTGCTAAAGGGCGTGGAGAAAATCCCGAATGAAGCTTTTCCCCTTTATCCCAAATCCACAGCATTGGGACAGACTTGATTTGCATGTGCTCAAATAATGTACAACCAAAGGAGAGAACCTTAGATATTTATGTCCCAGCAGGAAGCCATTCGGCCCATTATGTTGTCTCGATGTTTTCTCCTCCAAAAAGCCATCCAGCCTAATCCTATTGCCTTGCTATATCCTCGTGCTCTCTAACACCCTTCCAAACTCTCTTTTGGACACCCCATTTGACTCCACTTTAACAGCTGCTCACGGTAAATGTTTCCATACTGTACTTTCCATGATTCACAGAAGGGAGATTCTCCCAGTTGGTGTCCTGGCCAACAATCCTCCAAATAAAATTGGTCACTCACTCCTTGGCTGTGGGACATTGCTGTGCACATACAGTCACACCACTTTGCAGCATATTCTGTGAAGCGTTTTGAGACGTCTAGACGACATGATAAGGCGCTGTATCTAAAGGTAATGATTGTTATTAAATTCTGACAACCCTATGGAATAAGAAGTTCTTCCGAACCTCTCTTCCCAGGGGGATGTCAGAGAATGGAATGATTTGTCAGGTGCGGCTGTTGCATTTACTGAATTGACCATTTTGAGCATAAAAGACACAGACAGCCCAGAACATTCTCTTATCGTTTCCTTCTGGGTGAAGTGATTTCCACTCGGCTGATAATTCTTTATTCTCCTCTTTGGCAGGTCAAATACCTGTTTTCAGACAAGACAGGAACATTGACGTGCAATGTCATGAGCTTCAAAAAGTGTACAATCGGTGGGATCGCATACGGGTAAGAGAGCGCACTTTTCCAGAAATTAACTGAAATGGAGCAATGCAAGCCAGGAAAGTCCACTGTTTCAACTCCCTGAGTTTGCTGATCTTAACCCAGGCAGACTTTTTTTTGTGGTTTGGGAGGGGAGCTGCAGTTGGCCTCAGCATTCCTTGCGCTAGGGAGGCAGAAGCAGGCCTGGAATCCTGCTCTGGTGTGGGGGTTTCTACTGCTGCTGTCTCTACTCTCATAGCATTGCCGTGGCAAATGTGCTACATGAAATCAGTCTTCAAGTCAAACTAATTATTTTTGCCGACAAAAAACAATGTCTGGTCAAACAGGGTAGGGCTACCTTCATTATTTAACCATGAGAAAGACGTTGAAATGCACCCGTGGATTAAAGGGGAGGCAGTCGAGATCATCTGGTTCTTTTACAGGGTGGTTATCAGCCTTTTATTGCTGCTGAATCTACAATAATGTTCCTGTGCTCTTTCACACAGTCATCACCCAGACTCGGATACAGAACGCTCTTCTGATGATTTGGGGTAAGACATCTTTACAAATAGCTCGCTGGGTCACACTGTTGTTAATTGCATTGTGGGTGCCTTATATTTAAACAGTCTCTAGGGGTTAGACATTATGTGTAGATTACAGTGGGTGTTAGACCTTATGTGTAGATTACAGTGGGTGTTAGAGCTGATGTGTAGGTTATAGTGGGTGTTTGTTTGGGCCAATATATACTAGACTTCTGGTCTACAGAGGGGCTCATACTAGAAGTGAACCCACACTGCACCAGGATACTTTATAATGGGATCTGACTGTGTGTCTGTCTATTGTACATGTAAACAGAATTCCCTGTGTACAAGCAGTTATGGTGTTATGATTTGAAAGCCTCGTCTTGTATCTATCTCCCTGTACTGAGCAAGTTCCTCCTCAGACACGATGACCAGTTTAATGCTGCTCTTGTGAGTTAAATACTTTGAACAGTTGGTAGAGACTGAGTTATTGTTGTGCTGTTATACTCTAGAAATTTCATTTTAACCACCATTTCTATAGTGTTATTGAAGTGTTTCATTGGAAAACCACAATTTCCCCTCAAATGGTTTCTGACTCAAAGGAAACACTTGCAATCACTGGACAGTGTCCAGTGTTTGGACAGTGTCTCACTTGGGAAAGAACACAAGTTCTTTCAGTGGATCAGTATGTTTCCAGCCCAACGAGGAAGGAAGCAGTGCTGGATCTAGTTCTGGGGAATGAAGTGGGGCAAGTGGAGCAGGTTTCAGTAGGAGAGGATCTGGACAACAGTAATCACAACATCATTAGGATTAGCATACTTATGGAAAGGGACAAGGAATAATCAAAGGTGAAGATACTCAACTGGAAGAGGGCTAATTTCAGTGAGTTAAAAAGAGATCTAGCCAAGGTGGACTGGAAAGATTGGCAGGTAAAACAGCTAACGAGCAATGGGAAGCCTTCAAGAAGGAGATAGTTCGGGAACAGAAGAAATACATTCCCACAAAGGGGAAAGGTAGGGCATCCAAACCTCCCTGGATGACTAAGGAAATTGGGGTTGAAATAAAACAGAAAAAGGAGGCTTATGATAAATGTCATGTTCAAAATACAGAAGATAATCAAATAGAATATAGAAAGTACAGAGGAGAACTGAAAAGGAAATAAGAGGGACAAAGAGACTGTATGAGAAAAGATTAACGGGTAACGTAAAAAGGAACCCTAAAGTATTTTATAAGCATATAAAGAATAAAAGGTTAGTCAAAGGTAGGGTGGGTCTTATTAGGGACCAAAGAGGAAATCTTCTTGTGGAGACAAAGAGCATGGCTGACGTACTGAGTGAGTACTTTGCATCCGTCTTCACAAAAGAAGAGGATGCATCTAATGCCACAGTATCAGAGTTGTGGGTAGAGAAATTGGATAAGATAAGAATAAACTGAGAAGAGATACTAAAAAGGTTAATGGTGCTCAAAATAGATAAGTCATCCATTCCGGATGGGATGCATTCTAGGTTACTGAGGGAAGTAGGGGTGGAACTAACGGAGGCTCTGACCACAATCTTTCAATCATCCTGGGACACCGGGGTGGTGCCAGAAGACTGGAGGGTTGCAAATGTTACTCCCCTGTACAAAAAGGAACTGAAGGGTAAACCAGGGAACTACAGGCTAGTCAGCCTAACGTCAGTAGTGGGGAAACTTCTAGAGACTATGATAAATTTTCACTTAGAAAAATATTGGTTAATAAAGGACAGCCAACATGGGTTTGTTAAAGGCAAATTGTGTTTGGGCAAAAGGCAAAACGTGGAGGTGAACCGTTGTCTTTCTGCCAATTACAGAAGGGCACCTTGAGGGTGAGAGGGGCATTAAGAACATAAGAATTTGCTAGGCAAAAGAAGACCAAGGTCCATCCAGTTCACCTTCCAGCATCCTGGCAGTCGCATGCACGTGTCATGTCCCAAACTATATATTGTGTCCCGAGATATTGTTTCCTAACAGAAATCTATCTAATTTGTTCTGGAAACAATCAACACCTTTTGCTTCCACTGACATTGACAGGACAGTTGTAACATAGGAAAAGCACAGGAATAAGAGAAGGTCACACAGCCCTTCGAGTGTTGAGTATAAGTTAGCAACGTGACAAAAAAATGATGGCACTTCTGCTGTTTACTAATGTCTTTTTCTGCCCCTCCCCACCTTCCCCCCTGGGAACCACACACACATTGTTTTTCATTTACAGCCATTTCACTTCCTCCTTTGAGTTGTCTGAATTTGATGATCCAACGTTGCTGGAACACATCCACAATAACCACGTGAGTCTCTGTTCCTTTTCCCTTTGTTCTTCATATCTAACATCTCCCTAATGAAATCAAGTGCGGTGTAATTGCTAATCCAGTCAAAACAGTAGACTCCAGGGGTTTGTCTCATGCAAGAGCAGACTTGGCAGCCTGACTCATCCTCAGGGCTTAGGAGGGAGTGGAATTCTTGCCCCTCAGCTCCTGTTGACCCTGCAAACCAAAGCCCTAATAAATATTATGGTCCAAGTTGGACAAGCAGTGGGATGTTTGCCAGACCGTGCTTTCAATGGCAAGCTCTGCAATTTTAGCTGGTTAAATTCTAGCTTTATCCCAATGCACATGCTGAGGTCCAGCCTGCACCAAGTACTCTCTGGGATTAGATAACCAGGATGTGTCTCCAGAGAGACAGCGAGCATTTCATTCCAGACTCAGGGAAATTCCATGTTTAGGTGAGATGCATGGATCTCTCAGTCTGGTTTGGATGTTCTTAAGCATAGTGATGGGTTTGTGCACGTGTCAGACATCCGCCTGACCAAAATCAAAGATTTGGCTCTGCTGCTGGCAACCAGGAAACGTTAGTTAAAAAGAGGTTCTATTATATACTATTTCTTGTCATCCCACACGGTTGAATGTAAAAGGTTTTGCTTTATTCTAAGATAATTTCCCTTTTTTTTCTCTGTGTTGGTGTAATGTTTTTTTATATACCCTGTGCTCGCGACGTGGTGTCAGGCCTCAGCCTGACCGTTGTTGAGGCTGAGATCAGGTGTAAGCAAACCCATGTTATAACCCCCGCTAGTCTATGTACTTTGAGTTTCTAACCCTAATTGTTCCAGATTGAAAGTTCTGCACCACTCTGGAGGTGGGGTAAAGTCAGCGAGAAGCATACCAGCTATAAATACCAGCTCCTTGTTTAATGTCACATTGCTGCCCTGACATGAACAGCAAATACAGTCTGAAGTGAAAGAGCTGAAAAACTATATTTAAATCTGATCTAATACAACATTGTCATAGAGTAACCCAGTAACCTACGTACATAACTCTGCCAATTCTGGTAACTCAAGCGAACAGTGTTACACCCAGTTCATTTAATAACATAACATTGAGTACCCTCCGTTGCATCATGTGAATAATTACTTTGATATGATTCACTGTCACGTGTTCATGTGGATCCTTGAAAATTAAATTGGTCATTCACTTCATGGCTGTTTGTAGGACATTACTGTTTGCAAATTGGCTGCCAATCTCGCCTATAAAATACACAGCTGTTTGACCCGAGCCGAGACCTCCATGACCCGAGCCCCCTCACCCCCTCCCTCCCTCCTCCCTCCTCTCTACCCCCAAACCCTCCCCCCTCTGCATCTCTCCCGCTCTCTCCTCCTCTCTCTCCGTCCCTCTCACCTTCTATCCCCACTTGACCCTCCCACAACCTCCCTCTGCTCCAGCCTGAGAATCCTCCGCCGGGCTCACCGTGGCACTCGGCGTTGGCTGTCCAGCAGCAGCCACACTGACTGCCCCATTCCCCACCACACTCGCCAGCCACCCCGGACACAGACCCGGGGAGCCAACCTCTCCTCCATTACCCCCATTTCCCCCACCCCTGCCTCACAACCGGGAACCCCCTCCCTCCCCACACACCCTTCTGTGAACCGCTCCATCCACATCGGACTACAAAATGTCCGCTCCCTCTGCAACAAGGCCCTGGTCATCAACGATCTCATCCTTGATGAGAACGTTGATATCATGGCCTTAACGGAAACCTGGCTCACCCCAGGCGACACCTTCCCCCTCACGGAGGCCACACCACCCGGCTACACCTCCCACCACATCCCTCGCCCCAACCGCCGTGGCGGTGGTGTTGCCCTTATCTCAAGGACACCACGTGCCCTATCCTCCTACTCCTCTGGCTCTTTCCCCTCTTTTGAGCACCTCACCCTCTCCCACCCCTCCTTCCTCTCACTTAAAATCCTCCTCCTCTACCGGCCCCCTAAAACCTCTCCCACCTTTATCTCTGATATCTCAACACTTCTCACATCTCTCTGCCTCTGCTCTGATCGCCTCATCATCCTGGGCGACTTTAACCTGCACTTCACCCCCTCCTGCTCAATCTCCTCAGATTTCTCTTCCCTGCTCTCCTCGCTCAACCTCTCCCTCCACATCAACTCCCCCACTCACAGTCACGGCCACCCACTCGACTTGGTGATCACCCGGGGCCTCAGTGTCTCGGATGTCACCATCACCGACAAGGCCATCTCTGACCACCACTTCATCTCCTTCACCACCTCCACCCCCCTCCCCACCTCCACCAGACCCACCACCATCTTCTACCGCCCCTGGAAGAAGTTACCCCCTCAATCCCTAACCGCTGCCTTGGAGTCCTCTGAACTCCTCTCCCTCTGGCCTTCAACCCTCACCGACCCCTCTTCTGCTCTCACCCTCCTCCACAACACCCTCTCCTCCACACTTGACACTCTTGCCCCTATCACCTCCCGTACTGTCTCCTACTCTCGCTCCTCCCCCTGGTTCACCACCCACCTCCGCTCACTGAAGAGCCAGGTGCGGGCCGCTGAACGCACCTGGGTCAAATCTGGCCTAACGGTCCACCGACAAATCTGGCTGGACCTCCTCAAAATCTACCGCTCCACTCTAGCCTCGGCCAAATCGTCCTTCTACTCCAGGATAATCCTGGAGGCGAAGGACAACCCCAGGCTACTGTTCTCTACCACATCCCAACTCCTCCGTCCCCCCCGCCACCCCGCGCAGGTCATCTCCTCCAACCTTCACTGCGAGGAGATGCTGGATTTCCTTGAATCCAAGATCAAGGGAATCCGCTCCGCGGTCACTTCCCCTCCAACATCCACCCACCACCCACCCCTTCCCTCCCACACTCCGACTCCTACCCATCCTCCCCTACACACCTTCGTACCCGTTTCCCCACCCTCTGTCACCAAACTCATCCTATCCCTGAAACCTACCACCTGCTCCCTTGACCCCATCCCCACTCCACTCCTTATCTCCCAGCTCCACCTCCTTGCCCCACATATCACAGACATCGTCAACCTGTCCCTCTCCTCTGGCTCTATTCCCATTCCCTTAAAAACTGCCACCATCACTCCCACCTTAAAAAACCCCTCCCTTGATGCGTCGCAGCTATCAAGCTACCGGCCCATCTCCAACCTCCCCTTCCTATCCAAGGTCCTGGAACGAGTTGTCGCCTCCCAGCTGCGCTCTTTCCTCTCCAACCATTCACTATTCGAACCCCTTCAGTCGGGTTTCCGTGCTGCCCATAGCACAGAAACTGCCCTGGTCAAGGTCACCAATGACATCCTGACCATCTGTGACCAGGGCTCCCTCTGCCTCCTCGTCCTCCTCGACCTATCGGCAGCATTCGATACGGTCGACCACGCTATCCTCCTCCACCGCTTGTCCTCCCACCTCAACCTTCAAGGCCCTGTCCTTGAGTGGTTTAGGTCGTACCTCTCCCACCGTCTTCACTTTGTCTCCACAAATGGTTTTTCCTCCGGCCCCCGCACTGTCTCGTGCGGTGTCCCTCAGGGCTCTGTCCTCGGTCCCCTCCTCTTCACCCTCTATATGCTCCCCTTGGTGACATCATCCGCAGACATGGGGTTAACTTCCACATGTATGCGGATGACACCCAACTCTACCTTTCCTCCTCTACCTTCAACTCCACGACCACCGATGTCCTGACAGCTGCCTGTCCGACATCGAGTCCTGGACGAGAGACAACTTTCTTCAGCTCAACGTGCGAAAACTGAGGCCCTCCTGATTGGCTCACGTCAGCGCCTCCGCACCTCAGGCGCTGACACCATCAGCATCCAAGGCTGCACTCTCCACCTCTCAAAGCCAGTCAGGAACCTCGGGTTCTGTTCGACCCTGAGCTGTCCTTTCTCCCTCATATCCGCGCCACAACTGGCACCGCCTTCCATCACCTCCGGAATATCGCCAGACTACGGCACTACCTCACCCCTCACGCTGCTGAAACTCTGGTCCACGCCTTTATCACCTCAAGGCTGGACTATGGGAACTCTCTCCTCGCCGGCCTTCCCGGCACCTCCCTCCACAAGCTGCAGGTCATTCAGAACTCTGCAGCTCGTGTACTGTCCCGCACCAGGACCACATCACTCCCACCCTCGCTCGCCTCCACTGGCTCCCCATCCCCCAGAGGATCGAATTCAAGATCCTCATCCTCACCTACAAGGCCATTCACGGCCTTGCTCCCTCCTACCTCTCCGACCTACTATCCCCCTACCTACCTGCCCGTACCCTCCGTTCCTCTGGCTCCGGTCTGCTCCACATCCCCCGCCCCAACCGCCCTACCATCGGTGGCCGGGCCTTCAGCCTCTCAGCCCCTAGGCTCTGGAACTCTATCCCCCAGTGCCTTCGCCGCCTCCTCCCTTTCCTCCTTCAAGGCCGGTCTCAAGACCTTTCTCTTTGACCGTGCCTTCAGCTCCCCTCTCGACTCTCTACCCCCTCCTCGCTCCCTCCCTTCCCTCCCCTCACCCTGACCATTTCCCCCCTGCTCGGGTCCTGACCCAACTGTACAGCGCCTTGGGACGTCCTCCCGACGTGAAAGGCGCTCAATAAATGGAATCTTGTTGTTGTTGTTGTTGTAGCTGTTACACTTCACAGTATAACCTTTGAGATGTCCTCCCGACCTGAAAGGTGCCACATCGCATGTGAGGATTTAAAAAAAATAATTATAAGGCCGTTTTGTCTTAAAATTTAAGGTGCTGCAGTTTTGGGGATAATTCTTAAATTCAGTCTTAATTGAAGCTGTTTTTGTTTCGCAGTTCTTTAAACATTGAGAATTTAAGAATTTTATGGATTTCTCTGCAACCAAATGTCTTTTACAGGCTCAGCCTTGCTGGCATTTCGAGCACATTGTTCCTGTTTGTTGGACACTGCTGCCCTCAATTGGCTGCCGCGTTTCGCCCCCAAAATTTACAATCAATGCATCTTTACAGTGAATTCTGTGAAGCGCTTTGAGATGTCTCGAAGATGTGATAAGGTGCTGTATCACATGCAAGGATTATTATTGAAGATAACTTAGCAATACCTTTTTTCGAATATCCCTTTTTTTGTGTAAACATCAGGACGGTCCGTATGAATCTGCACGTCCTTATCCACCTGATAGTTGTTTTCAGGCTGGTTTTAAACAAGCTGGGACCATCCTTCAGCCTGGTGCCCCTAAACTGATTCCGACTGAAACCATGTTGGCCTGTTAGATCAATAGCCAACAAGAGACCTACAGCTGCAATAAACATTCCCATTTCCCACTTCTGAACTAATTTAACTCTTCAAGGCACCCAGATACTGTCATTTTCCATAACGTTTCTAATTGAACTAAAATAATAATTTAAGCAGAAATGTTTCTGATTCTAACAGAAGCACCTAAACTGCAGCAAATGAACTAACATGACATTTTTTGTTCTTCATTCTACTGGCGCCTTGTAACCTAGTGGATTAACCTTTAAGACCCCCCTCTCTCCCCGAGCCACACCCTTCCCTCTGCTCCCTCTGACCTACATCATTCATGATTGTAAACCTGACGCACTTGAGGATCTTCCTTTTTGACTGGTCAGTTTCCCTCTCTCCCTGGCTCGGCATCAAACTCTGACATTGTTAAGCTCTCCAAGATGCTACCTGCATGAAGGGAGCTATATAAATGCAAGTTGTTGTTGTTGTAAAACACTAAGACGTTCTCCCAACATGAACGCCACTGTATAAGTGTAAACTGCTGTTGTGTTGACACGTAGGTGAGATTTTCTCGTAGGGAAGGCCCTGGTATCTGATTTTCTTCCTGTCTCTGCTCCATTTCAGCCAACATCCAGCCAGATCCAGGAGTTTTTCATCATGATGGCGATTTGCCACACAGTAGTTCCCGAGAGAGATGGTGACCATATTACCTACCAGGCATCCTCTCCAGGTGAGACGGACAAAGCCACACTGCTGAGCAAATCCGAACGTTATGTGGAAAGTCAAAATGAGTGCATGGTGAAGCCTAGATTATCTGCCCCCATTGGGTTTGGCGGATAATGGGAATCGGTGGATAATCAAGCTCCGACTGGTGTTTGTGACAATCTCCTCACTAACGTTGATGTTTAAACTCCCGAAAAAGATTATTGAACCAGATGCATTTAATTTTTAAAACAGACCCAAAAATGTTGCCACCCCCCACTGCAAAACACAGTCCCTGTGTTTGCCCCCTTACCAATTCTGTCAGCATGCTCAGTCAGTCCTGTATCCTCAGGGAATGTTCACTACAGTAAAGGCAACATAAACTCCATGTACGGGTAAAGTATCACTACATCCCACTCGGTCGGTTGCGGTGGTCATTGTTTGTACGTCCGCTGACAGATGTGCTTTCGCACAGATGAAAATGCGCTGGTGAAAGCAGCGAAGGCCTTTGGATTCGTCTTCACTGGAAGGACTCCCCGGTCGGTCATCATAGAGGCCGTGAGTAGAAACCGGTCGCCGTCTTCAGCCTTTGTTTATAAGCTTTCAGCATTCCAACTTTTCACTGTCCTTCCCTATGCTCACTGCAGGTTTATACCACAACAATAACTTGCATTTATATAGCGTTCTTCACACAGGATAGAGTCTCGGAGCGCTTGACACACAACAATAAGTTAATGTGCCTTCAGTGTTTTGTTACTGAAAGCATTTGAATTACATATTTTTAAGACCTTTCTGAGTTGCTTTCTGGTAAGATGCGCTTTCACACTCTCTTCCCCTTCCCCCCCTCCAAATCCAAGATGTTAGAATCATGTTGTTGTTTTGAATTACCTATGATTATTTTCCGTTTCCAGATGGGAGAAGAAAGGATGTATGAGGTCCTTAATGTTCTGGAGTTTTCCAGGTAGTTGCGTTTATCCAGATTTACAGTAATTAGTATCAATGGAGAAGAGGCGTGGTAGCTTGGACGCTACATTTTACCTCGCCTCCGTGTCCTCTGGGTTAGGGAGGGGTATATCAGCTGTGAAGATCACTGTCCATCACAGAACCATTGAGCCATAGAAGTGTACAGCACAGAGGAAGGACATTCAGCCCATCATGTCAGTGCTGGATCTTTTGAGAGCAATCCTTGCAGTCCAATTTACCTGTCCTTTCCCCATATCTTTGTAGTTGTGCATGTGGGGATATTGAGTGAGTTCAGCATCCGACTAAGACTCGGTTGTGATACACACACACACACACACTGCCCCCCTCACTCACAGCTTTGGTTTATGGGTAAGGAATGGACATTCAGGCACTTGAGGGCACACAGCACCAGCGAAACTCTACCCCTGAACGAAATGAGTCTGTGCCTTGCAGGCAAGGGGGGAGAAACCTAAAAGTAACAAACAGCATAACCTATGGCTGGAATGGAAGAGATTATTTCTCATTAAAGCTCTGACTGTAACCAATAAACTGTTTTGATAACCTGTTACCAGACTTTTGTCAGCTTTCATGATTAGCCATGATAGTGGCCTTACGTGCCACACACTGACTCGATCTTGTAACAATCTTCACTCTCGTTTCTATTGCCCACCGTAGCAACAGGAAGCGAATGTCTGTGATTGTTCGAATGCCGTCGGGGAAGATACGGCTGTACTGCAAGGGAGCAGTGAGTGTTCTTTTACTGTCTTCTGCCTCGTGCAACATGGAAATAGTTTGTTAGAAAGTGAATTCTCATTCCAACAACTTTCACTTCTATCACACCTTTCATGTAGAATAAAGTGTTGAAGCACAACATTACTGTCTATCCAAATAATAAGGAATTAGATTTTTTCCTTCTCGTATGTTTATTCACTGAGAGATTAAGCCTGGCTCCGTTAGTAACGCTCTCTCTGCCAGTGTACGAGTCAGAGGTTTGTGGGTTCAAGCCCCCTGATCGGAACTCAGCTCATATTGTCTAAGCTGACACTCCAATGCAGCGCTGTGGGTGTGTTGCATTGTCGGAGATACCTGCTTCAGATAAAGCGTTAAATTCTCGTCTGCCTGTTCAAGTGGACGTTAAAGATCCCATGGCATTATTGAAAAAGAGAAGGGAGCTTCTCCCGGTCAACAATCCCCCAAATAAAGTTGGTCACTTGCTCTGTGGTTGTTTGTGGGACACTGCTGTGCGCAAATCGACTGCTGCATTCGCCTCATTACACTTCAGGGAAAATTCTGTGAGGAGCTTTGATAACCTTCTACATCGTGATAAGTTGCTATATCAAATATAAGAATTGTTTTAATTTATTTGCAATTGATCTCAGTATTATACATTTTTTAGAAAAAAATCAATATGCACCATTTGTGAGTGAAAAGGCCCAAGTTTTACACTTAAGCTTTACACCTTATTATTTTATTGTTCCCCGTAGACACCTCAAAAGTTGCAAAGGAATGTCAGTGGTAGATGGGTGAAGTGCTGCAGAATTATGTTCATACAATTTTGATGGGGATGCTTCTGCAATTTACTTTTGCAAGCTTAGCCGCTAGTGCCCTCTAATGGCAAGTATTGGATACTGCAGTGTTAAACTGATTGTTTTCTTGCTTGTTAACAGGACAACGTGATTTTTCAAAGACTTGCTGAAAATTCAATGTACGGAGAGCAGACACTAAATCACCTGCAACAGTTTGCTACAGATGGTGAGTTAAACTCCTCAAGAATTCTAACTCGGTACATTTGATTTAACTGGGCTCTGAACTGAGGGTGGGTAAGTGGAGGGAAGAAGGGGGTTGAATAGAGATTAACAGATCATCATTATACGCCTGACTGAGTCAGTTACTTTAGTTCATTGTCATTTCCGTCACTGCCTTTAGGGTGGGTTTTCTGGAAGGATGAGATCAAATGGGCCTTCTTCATCCATTGTGTCAGCCAAAAATCACCACAACATTTTACGTAGGGCACTAACCCCCTTTTTTCCCTGAAGAAAAGCACCCCTTCCTCTCCAGCAAGAGATCAACGGGGGTAATAATCCCTAAAAAAAATCATAATTTGGTCACTCAATCCTTGACTGTGGCGACACTGCTGTGCGCAATTGGCTGCCGTGTTTCGCCCACAATGCAGTTTAGATAGTTAAACACCAGCAGAACCCCAGTGCACACTCCAGAGTCCCCAAACCTTGCTTCTTGCCAACTTGGGCCTAATACTCTTAGGGATTAGGTAAAATAAGGGTGTCTCTCCAGAGAGAGAGGGTGTGTTTCAGGCACAGGGAAATTTCCATGTCTAGGTGACACACACATGTGGAACTCTCAGTCTGGTTTTGATACTCTAAGTTTGATGATGGATTTCTGCATGTGTCGGACATCCGACTATATCCCAGGTCTTGTAACTTGCAGAATATTGACCCATGTCTGTTCTGTTCCTTCTCAGGCTTGCGTACATTGTGTTTTGCATACACTGACTTGACTAACGAAGCCTATGATGTTTGGCAGAAAAAACATAACAAAGTCACAACATCTCTTCAGGATAAGACCACCAAGATGGAGGAGTCTTTTGAGCTGATAGAAACAGTAAGACTGACCTTTCCGTTTGCAACTCTAAACTCATAGCCAATATAAGCCCACAGTCACTACACCTGACAGCAATTACTTGGCAGCACTTTGAGATGCTGTAGCAAGCAGCAAATCGAAAGATTATTATATAAAGTTGTGCTTTACCGCAGTAACTACATTTGTTTTGAAATGACACAGAGTTATCCAGCAGGGGGCAGCATTGTCAAAGCACAGACTGTGACTGCTCAGTGCTCTAAAGGATTATTGCTGGTACTTAATTAAGTACCATAGAGTCTCCCACTGAGTTCTGCCCATGTGAGACAGTAAAAGATGTGGAGGGAATGCTACAATTAAACCTCAGGATAGCCTTTTCCTAGTGCTGCTAGGAACTTTGTCAAGGACCCCATACTTTTCTATGCTGAGACGATCTCAGCTGCTGGAACTAGCCTCAGAGTTTCTGGCTGGGACGGGGCAGACTTCAGGTACCTTGAGTGCACAGGCATATGTGTGTGTGTATCTGTGAATGGATGTGCGTGCTGTGCACATATTTGTATGTGCATATGCATGATTGTGTATTTGCATTTACGCATTGTCCGAGTGTGTGTTGTGAGGTGGTTACTGAACAGTAAACCGGTGGAACAGGCTCCCTGGGCAGACGGCTGAAGCAGGAAATGTTGATTCCTTCAAACACAGATTAGATTGTTTTCTTTTAGGAAATAACATTATGGGATATAGTACATAGGTAGTTTGGGACATACGTGCATGCGACCACCAGGAAGGTGGAAGGAGAACAAGGTGGACCTTGGTCTTTTTTTCACCCAGCATTTCTTATTTTCTTATGTTTCTGTATGTCTCTGTGTATGTTGTGTGTTTTTTGTCTGTATGTGTGAGTTGTTTGATCATAAGTTGGGATGAGGAAGGCCGTTTGGCTCATCTGATCTTATGTCTCCATAATTCCCACCCTATTGTCTTCCCATCACAGATTCAAACTGCTTTTTAAATAAGTCCTGTGTCCTGGCCTCAACTTTACTTCCCGGCAAACTGTTTCAGTCATTAATTACCCTCTGGGCAAAGAAAATTATCCTGGTATCAGTCATGAAATTTCCTTTTGAGACTTAAAACTCATATCATCTTGTTCTACTGTCTTGGTGCATCATAAATTATTGTTTGGGGTTTAACAACAACAACAAGATTACAGTTGTATAGTGCCTCTCACGTCAGGAGGACGTCCCAAGGCGCTGGACAGAGTACAGCATTTCAGACCCGAACAGGGGTTGGGGGGGGGGGGGGAGTAAGGGAGGGGAGAAGAAGGGGGGGTGGCTGATGGCATGGTCAAAGAGGAGGGTCTTGAGGCGGGACTTGAAGGAGGCTAAGGAGGGGGCAATGTGGAGTGATTGGGGATGGAATTCCAGAAGTTGGGGGCAGAGTGGCTGAAGGCTGTCCCGCCAATGGTGGGTTGGGGGGGATCGGGTGACGTGGAGAAGGCCAGAACCGACTGAGCGGAGGGAACGGGCGGGTTGGTAGGGTTTAGGAGGTCGCAGAGGTAGGGTGGGGCGAGGCCATGGAGGGCTTTGTATGTGAGGACCAGGATCTTGAACTGGATCCTCTGAAAGATAGAGAACCAGTGGAGTCGGGCGAGTGGGGGAGATGGGGTCACGGAGTTTAGTGCAGGAGAGGACACGGGCTGCAGAGTTCTGGATTATCTGTAGCCTGTGGATGGAGGAGTTGGGAAGGCCGACAAGCAGGGCGTTCGCATAGTCGAGCCTGGAGGTGATGAAGGCATGAACAAGAGTTTCAGCGGCCTGAGGGGTGAGGTAGTGGCGGAGTCGGGCAATGTTACAGAGATGAGGGAAGGCAGAGCGGGTTCATGGCTTGAATGTGGGGGAGAAAAGACAGTTGAGGGTCGAACAAGACACCTGGGTTCCTGACTGGCTTGGTGAGTTGTAGTGTGCAACTATGGAGGTTGATGTTGGTGGAGCCTGAGGTGCTGAGTCGCTGGCGTGAGCCAATCAGGAGGGACTCAGTCTTGTTCACATTCAACTGTAGGACATTTGCCCTCATCCTGGACTTGGTGTCCGACAGGCAGTCTGTCAGGACAGCAGTGGTCCTGGAGTTGAGGGTGGAGGCTGAAAGATAGAGTTTACGTTTTCAATCTCATTTAAAATGTTATTCGCCTCTCTGAGGTCTCTTCTGAGTTGTCTTCTCCCACCACAAGGCACCCTAGTTTATCTCATTGGTACCCATAGCTCATTCCGCTGACACTGAGGGATCATCTTCAATGTTGTCCTCTGTGCTGTCTCTAGGGCTGATGCGTGTTGAGGGAGAGAGAAAAAAGGTTCAATCATTGCCACGTTTTCTCCTGACACTCATCCTCTTGCTGTTTACCAGAACCTGATGCTCCTCGGTGCCTCTGCCATTGAGGATCGCCTCCAGACTGGCGTCCCTGAAGCCATCACCACTCTACTGAAGGCTGAAATCAAGATCTGGGTCCTGACGGGAGACAAACAAGAAACTGCCATCAATATAGGTACTGAACACCCCTCCCGACACTCAGTAAAGAACCTGCATAGTTATCAGTTCCCACTCCTAGCTCGGGTGCCTCATCAGTACTGGCAAGTACCTTGGAACAAACCCTTAAAGTGAAAGGTGCTATATAAATGTAAATTTGTTGTTGATGGAAAGCAGGGACCCCTTTTGGTGGTGTATGTGGCATCAGGTGAGGAAAGGATAAGCTTCATTGGTGATTTCTCACTGCGTCAAATAACTTACTGGGATTGACTGTCCAGGCACATGCCTGTGTAATACTACAACAACTTGCACTCACAGAGCATCTTTCACTTTGGGCAATGTCTCAAAGTGCTCTACGGGACGGAGTGGAAACCTAGGCAGGTAGAGGGAACTGGGAAGGAGTGAGGAGGAAGCATAAGGGAAAGTTGTGTGGCTTAGTGTAGGAGAGGTTAGGGCTGTGGATAAGTTGAGGTACTGGAGGATTGAGTTAGGAAGGCTTGGTTCGGAGAACATTTGAGAAATGGTCTCGATGTAAATAAGAGTTTTGTCTGCACTGGGAGTGAGATAGGGCGGAGGCGGGTGATGCTCCAAAGGTTGAGATAATCAGTGTTGGTCAACGACTGGATGTAGGGTTAAAGGAGAGCTGAGGATTGAACAAACTCTATCGGGAGCGGTACCAGAGAGTTTCACAGATTTATGGAAGGTAGAGTTAAAAGATAGAGTTCAGAAACAGGTCATTCGGTCCATCCAGTCTGGCTGGTGTTTACACTCCACATGAGTCCCATCCTAGATCCTATCCCTAGTCCCATATCCCAACCCTTTCTCCATATTCCTTAACTATTATTTTCCCTCAATCATGTGTCCAGTCTTTGTTTTTTTGAACGTGCACATGGTTGCCACCCAACAATTGGCTATGGCAGAGAATGCCTCTCTGTGTGGAAAAAAGTTCCTCCTCATCTCTGTTCTGAACCTTCAGGTCATGATTTTAAATGATCCCCTCTAGTTCTAGACCACCTGACCACTGGAAATAGTATTTCACCCAAGCTAAGAGTTATTAGAGTTCGGAGATGAAAGGAATATAATTTGGGTACAATTTAATGGATGTGTTGCCTTGGAGACTCATTTCTCTCTCCTCTTTCTGTAGGCTATTCCTGCCGACTTGTGTCCCAGAATATGTCGCTGATTTTGCTGAACGAAGATTCTTTGGATGTAAGTCGCTTTAAATGTTTACCCAGGTTGTTGCCCCAAAAGTCTTTATCTTTGATTGAACTGGAACTCTTTCACAGAGCTTCAGAATGCTTTGAAATGTTCACAGGACTGACCAGTGTCAAACTATCCTCATCTTCTGTTGGTAGCCGTGTGTCTCCTATTTGGGAATTGACAAATAGTGGTCACAGATTCTGGTGAGGACTTTCGCGCTCAGAGACGTGTCAGCCTGTCAGCCTGGCTCTGTGGGTAGCACAGCACTCAAGCACTGAGTCAGAATACTGCAGGCTCAAGCCCCGCTATGGGACTTTGAACTTGCGTAGTTCAGGCTAACACTTCAAGGCAGTCCTAGGGATATGCTGCATTCTCGGCGGGCCATCCTTCGGTTTTAAACATAACCAAGGCCCTGTCTGCCTGTTTCAGGTGGACGATAAAGATCCCACAGCACTATTCGAAAAGAGAAAGGAGCTATGGCCAACAATCCCCCAAATAAAATCGGTCATTGACTTCATGGCTTTTTATGGGACATTGCTGTGTGCAAATTGACTATTATAAAAAAACACAGATCTCCTCCCGTCGTGAAAAGCACTATATTAAATGTCAGGATTATTTACTATTGCATCGTGGAGTGGTGATGGGTTGCTTTCATTTGCACTTGGGCTGAGCCACATAAAGAACTCTGGTCTTGTGAGGTGTAATTACTGTCAAATGTAGTGACTAATTCGGCAGGAAAATGTGACAGCGAGAGTCCCACAAACAGCCACAAGGTCAATGTCTAATTTATCTTATCTGGAGGATTGGAAGCCAGGCAGTGAGTATGGGTGGGGGGAAGGGTGCTGAAAAAAAATAATTTGGTTTAGCATTTAGCGCCATTCACGGCAGGAAGACATCTCAAAGCACTTTACAGGTTTCAGTGCAGTGACTGTTTTGTAGGTGAAAACTCCAGCCAGTTTGAGCATAGTAATGACCCACAAACAGTCATGAAATGAATGATCAATTGTATCTGGGGGATTGTTGGCCAGGAAACTCCCTTCTCTCTTTGAATAGTGCCATGCAATCTCCAACGTTTACCTGAACAGCCAGACAGGAAGATGAGAAAGAGAGATGGAACAGTTACTGGCTTTTGCCAACAAAAACATAATGAAGGCAAAGATTTGAAGAGAGCTGCTGTTATTTTTAACCAGAAGGGTAGCGAGTTTCTCCACTGACAGTGCAGTTTGGTGTCTGTGAATGACTTCTTTACTTTCTAGAGTTTAAACCTAGAATGGTTTGACTGACATGCCGTTCTGTACAACTGAGAAGTGGAGGCTTCTGTCTGTGAGCACTCAGTGTCTGAGACAAGTGCAAATGACTCTTTGATATACAGGTTGCACATTGATTTGCTTCAAAAGGCATCGCTGGACTTGCATGTGTTGGGTTGCTCCCCATTCTGGTCAGTCGCTGTCAGCTTGAGGGTGGAGGAATGTTAAAAGAGGTCAGATGCTCACAGCTTATACTTGCACATCTTATTTTGTCGTTCGCTACTGAAGACTTCCGTCACCTTTCAACCTTTGGCTACTTATCACATGAAAATGTCATTGCCGGCAATTACCGTCAAGCGTAGTGTGACTGTTTTTGTAGGCAAACATGGCAGTCATTTTGCATCAGTGAGGTCCCACAAACAGCCATGAGGTTAATGGTAAATTAACATATCTTTTTGAGTTGTGTTTTGGGAGTTTTGATGTCCACCTGAACAGTCAGATTTCTTGTGGATAAAGGGATTAAGGAATATGGGGATAAGGCAGGTAGGTGGAGTTAGAATAGATCAGCCATGATCTTATTGAATGGTGGGGCAGGCTAGAGGAGCCGAATGGCCTACTCCTAATTCTTATGTTCTTATGGGACCTCAGTTTAGTTGCAATGGTGCAGCGCTCCCCATTTCAGTATATTCTGTGAAGTGCTTTGAGATGTGTCAACAACATGATAAGACATAGATCAAATGCAAGGATGATTATTATTATTACTGCACTGGATTGTCAGCCTAGGCTGTATGTTCAAAGTCCCCAGGCCGAGCTTGAACCCACAAACTTCTGACTTAGAGGTGCGACTGCAACCAATTGAGCCAGGCTGACACCTAATTTCAGACATGATGATTATTTAATGGACCTCAAAATAGTTAACTGATTGACTGGACTCAATAAGATTTGAACCAGTCCCAAGTCTGGTCAACTCAATGAGGACTTAGTAACAGCCCCTGATGGCTTTCTGCCTTTTTGAAAGCTGCATTCAATGAGGAATTAAACTCCACTGTGCACTGCATTGACCTGCGATGTAACCGGGATGTTTGTGAAACAGAAGAAATGGCAATTTCCTATACAGGTCAGATTTTAACTCCCACTTCACCCATGGAGTCTGCACAACCCAGCCAGTGAGAGAGAGCAGGAATGAAAGGCTGAGATGGTTAGTGGCTAATCCCTGATTGTCGTGCAATGGCTGGATTTTTTTGATTTATATCTGTCTGGTGCCTGGGTGAGGCAAATGGGAGATTTCACGCTGTGTCACCAGTGCAGGCCCTGAGAGATGTCGGCACAGCAGGCACTGAGGGGATTAGATGCTCATTTTACATTTTCAACAGGGCTGCATTTAGAAACACTCATATCTTACACTAACGCTTTTTATCTGTCCTGACAGCAAATGTGAGTGGAACTCACAGAATAAAGGACTGTTGCATAGTTGCATATTCTGTTAATACATATAACTGGTATAAAAGTCTGATCAATTAGTTTTGTTTTGCTTAATATTGTAAATTACCGAACGGATTGATTTCAAGAGCTTCTCACTCGATATCAAATCCTTTCATGCCCTCACATCTCCCCACTATGCCCCGAAAATCTGGAACTCTGTCCCTCAATCCCTCCACCTTGCCCCCTCCCTCCCCACCTTCCTTTTTGATCGTGCTTACAGTCACCTCCCCACTCCCTCTCCTCCTGGCTCATTGTCAGACTCCGCTACTGTCGAGTGCTGCGGGACACTATCCCACATGAAGGGCGCTATACACATGCAAGTTGTTGTTGCAAAATCTGAAGGGCGTTAATCTGCTATCTACTGACACAGGAATACTGCTGAAAAATAAGAGCATTTTACATTTGGTCAGCCTGTTGTTTGAACGGGGAAAACCATCACTGTACTTGAGAGTATTCAAACCACACTTCTGAGCACTCCACACAAGCAGGGAAATTTCTATGCTTCTGTCTGGTATGGAGCGAGTCTGATCGAGTTTTTTGATGAAGTAACGAAGAGGGTGGATGAAGGTAGTGCCGTTATTGTAGTTTATATGGATTTTCAAAAGGCGTTTGATAAAGTGCCACATAAGAGACTTGTAAGCAAAATAGAAGCCTACAATATTAAAGGGACAGTGGCAGCAAGGATTCAGAACTGTCTGGGAGACAAAATACAGAGAGTGGTGGTGAACGGTTGCTTTTCTGACTGGAGGAAAGTGTGCAGTGATGACCCCTGGGGTCGGAGTGGGACCACTGCTGTTTTTGACCTATATAAATGACCTGGACTTAGGATAGAGAGTACAATTTCCAAGTTGGCAGATGATGCTAAGCTAGGAAAAGTAGTAAACAGTGAGGAGGATAGTAGCAGACTGCAAGAGGACATAGGCAGACTGCTAAAATGGCAGACACGTGGCAGATGAAGTTTAATGTGGAGAAATGCAAAATTTTGGGAGGAAGAATGAGGAAAGACAATATAAGCTGATGGTACAGTCTACAAGGGGGTGAAGGAACTGAGAGACCTGGGGTTCATACTTCAGTTATCAGGGGAGGCTAGAGAAGCTAGGATTATTCTCCTTGGAGAGGCAAAGGTTAAGAGGAGACTTAATAGAAGTTTTCAAAATTATGAGGGGATTCGACAGGGTGAAGAAGGAAAAACTACTTCCACTGGTGGGTGAGTCGGTAACCTGAGGACACCAATTTAAAATAGTTGTTAAAAGAAACAGAGGAGAAATGTTTTCACACAGCGAGTTGTTCGGATCTGGAATGCATTGCCTGAAAGGGTGGTGGAAGCCAATTCGATAACAACTTTTAAGAGAGAAGTAGATAATTATTTGGGGAGGACAAGTTTGCAGAGCTATGGGGAGAGAGCAGAGGAGTGGGATTGAATTGGATACCTCTTTTCAAAGAGCCGGCACAGACACGGTGGGCTGAATGGCCTCCTTCTGTTCTGTATAATTCTATGATTCCATGGTTCACTGCCGTTTGGGGTCTCAAGTGGGAGAATCATGACAACAAACATGCAACTTATGTCAGGAGCAGCAGATAGCAGGCTAATGGGGAGTGGGGGGGGGCCTCTATATATCAGATTAGGGATCGTGGGCAAATTCATTGCTGATGGATATCATGATAGTAATTGATGTGTGTAAATGGAATTTTATAGTTTTGAGATCCATGGTGGGCATGTGCGTCTGGGTGAGCTGTGAAAAGACATGAACTTTTCTCATGGAGTTGAGAGGTATAATGAATGGCTTCTCCTGCACTTTCAGACAAGCTGTCCTCTGGGGGATACATGCTTAGTTTCAATCACAGGACGCCTAAATCATTACAGTGTTGTCCATGGGGATAAAATGCCAGAAATGTGAGGTAACCACTATTTCAGCAGAGTGGTGGATGAAGGTACTCTCCCTCCCACCTCACCTTCAGACTGCCCCAGTCCATGCTCTTTTTATACTACTCTGAGTTTTAAGATTCTCCCCCTCCCCCCCATCCTCTGGCACGTAATCCCCTACCTCTCTGCTCTATCTGTCTTTAGGTCTCATTTTAAAACCCCCAACTTTTCGACTGCCCCTTTGTTCACCTCCCTCTCCCCCTCTCTCTTGCTTGTTGTCCAGCCCCATTTGTGTAAATCTCTCAAAGGCATTCTCCAATGTGAAGGGTGTTATATAAATGCAAGTTGTTGTGGTTCTGCTGTTTCTGTGCAGTGTTCAGTGGCTATGTAGATGATGTTTGTCTACAAAGCAGGCA